CTTTAGGAAACTAAATGCCAGTCACAGGGCTAGACCATGCAACTTATACCTCTACCTGTGTGTTGCAAGATTACTCTGGAGGCAGGAGGTCCAGGAAGTAATTGTTAAGGATCTCTCAGTGGATAGGAGCCAACCTATAGTTCACCAAGAGACATAGACAGAAGTCAGAGTTCACTGCCACCAAATGTCTGAATTACTCCAAGAATAATTTAGTGCCCTTTTAGACCCAGGCTGCTTGCTGCCCAGCTGGCCTGCCCCTTAATCTACTCGGGTCAAGTCCAAACTTTAAAGAGGGAAGTCTTAGGAAGTCTAAAGCTGACCTTCAGCTCTGGCCCTTGCTCTCTCTCACTCCACTCCAGCCACACTGGCCTCCCTGCTGTTGCTGCACAAACATGCTCCCAACCAAGACCTTTTGCAATTGTTGTTGCCTCTGCCTAAACAATCTTCCCTGAGATGTTTCATTTTTCCATTCAGGTCTGTGCTTAAACATCACCCTATCAGAGGCCTTCCTGAGGAGTCTCTGAAGAAGCAACTTGTAAGTTTTCTTCAATGGCAGTCACTACCACCGGGAGTTCCTTTGTTAGTTGTCACCTCCCGCACTAGAATGCAAGCACCACCAGAGCTTTATTCACCCTTATAGCCAGTACAGGGTACATACAGACAGTCAAGAAATGTTTGCTGGAAGAGTAAATGAATGAATGAACAATTCTATTCCCCCTAAACTGATTTCCCAGCTGACTGGGATCTAGGAATGTCCTTGAACTTGCCCTTCAGGCCCACCTATGCTGCTGCTGTTCTGGCTCCTAAACAAGAAGTATTTGGAGATATTCTTTTTGACAGTTATGGGTTGAAGGGAAGGGGAGGATATAATTTTCAGTCTTACTGGGAGGGCCAGAACGGTTTAAAACAGATTTTTTTGTTTCATTAATGGGAAAACAAACAAAAGGCCCTCATCTAACGTGCTTTCCACTTTCAGGAAAGCTCTCGGTGCTCGGTCCCACACCCAAGCTCAGGTGACCCGTCTGGATGCGGCGAAAGCAAAGTGCGACCGCCGCGAAGCGGTGAAAGTGCAGAGGAGAAGGCGGAGGGAGGCGAGCGCTCAAGTTCACGCAAACGCAGGTGGGTTCCAGAAGAGTGGAACCGCTTGAGCGTGAACTCTTCCAAGAATCCCATCCCGGGTTCCCCACCCTCAGCTGTCTCTGCCATTCCCGGAGGGCCTCGACCCCTTCCCACACCCCCACCGCGCCCACCCAGCGGGCTCGCCACGCTTCACCTTTGCCCCC